ATCATGTGTTCACCCATGATCTTGATAATGTGTAACCCCCTTAATGAGTCTCATTTGAGATTCGGATTCAAACACTACTTGGGCTAAGTGATTGACCAACTTAGCGCTAGCATAATGGACATTCGTTTTAGACAAAATTGATCATTGATCTTTTTTATATTGTGAAACAGGCTATTTCAATTGAGTTTAGAATAGAAATAGTCTCGTGACTGCGCACAAAAACCATTTTATGAAATATACATATTTTTTTACATTTATATATATTTTCAACTTTTCTTTACATTCTGGAAATACCTGATCAAGTCGATCAAGTGAATTTAAGTAGGTTGTATTAGAAATGAAAGTTTAAGGTTTCCATGATCTATTTAAACCTGTCAACTTGGTAACTTTTATTTTTTTACTTTTATATATATTATTTTTATTTTTATTATTATTATGAATGGTTAAAATTTTATTAAAAGTAAATGTTTAAGACTTTGTCATCATTTCTTTTTTAATATTTAACCATTATCTTTTTTAATCTATTTATTATTATATAGGATTTTACATTCGAGACAACACCCTTTTATAATAACATTATACCTTCTTGTTCATCCTCTTTGATTGCAACAATCATAGTTATTATTAGATGGTGGTTTAGAATTAACCAGCAGTAAGCATTTAATTCAATCATTCATTAAATCTTTTAAATAGTTAACAACAATAACAACAGTAACAATAGTGGATTATAGATGAGAGAGGGAGGGCTATCCGTGATAATGGAAGATAAACTCTTGCTTGCAAATATTATTATTTATTTCTTTTTATTGTGATCAAATTTTGTTATATAAACTTTATATACTAAATTCTTGGATAATATTTTATTTATTAGTAAAAATTATTTAAACACATGCATGTATATATCTTTGGAAGAACAATGTACTAGCAGGAGGTTTGATAATATTTAATTATTACAATGGTCATCAATACACATTTATATATATATGTAATTTTCTAAAAAAATTTTTTTTTTAATGGTGATTGGTGACAAACAAAATTATTTTATGTGGATTAGATTCGAATGAGCAATCTTACTGACAAATAGTTTTGGGCATTTATTTAATTATTTTAGTGTTAATTGTTATTTTCTTTTATTCAAAAGAATTGTTTTGAAGGTAGGTTGTTTATACATTTGATTAATTAATGTTATTAACATAATAATAATAATAATAAATAATAGATCATTGTTATTAACATTTTGTAAATCTATTGTTTTAAATATACAATATATGTGATTATTTTATGATAATTGTTTTATATCCAAGTATGTAAATATATTCTTGTATCAACTTGAAATTCACTTATTCCATTCAAATTCCCCTCCTATATAAATTTATTTTGTTTTCAAATTGCGTAATGATCATCAAGCCAATAAAATTTAATTTTTGCGTGATATATGGAAGGGAAATCGTCACAAATATTAGCCAATGAAATCAAATGTCCATTATGCTCACCAGACCCAGGGCCTTGGTGTGGAGTAAAAAAATTCCGAGTCTGGCTTTTTTGCCAATCAAAGCAAAAAATCACAACTTCTTTCCTCCTCTCAACCTGTGTACTCTTGTAATGGACAATCGAATTTTCATTCTTTAAACTTTACCAATGCCTATTATATTTTTTACAAACAAAAATGTTATGGAATTCATTAAACAAATTAATACAGGAACAGCTTGACAACATCAATTTTTCTCAAAGCATTATATATAATTCCTACTCCTTAGGGTAATGTTGTTGCAAAATACCATTGTGGGCTGGGTCATTGTGATCGCGGGCATTTCCTATTACAATTTGAGATTTTTGGGTTTATGGCGTAGCGATAGGATGTAGTTTGTTTGTTAATAAAAAGACCTTCGCATATAAAATATACCAAGACTTTTCTTCAAAAACACACAACTAATTCTATTCTTCAATCTTTAAAAATCATGCCTGCAGCATTAGTTGTTTGTAGGTGGCATATTGGTGATCATAAGTCATCTGCATTCTCGAGTAGAAGTTAAAGATGAACCAGGTTGGGAAAATTTTTGAAGTTGGTTCAATTTAAAATTAATAAATATTGCCCTTTTCCAAATTCTCAAATGTGAATAAATGCATACATTTCATTGATTTTTATTTATTTAAAGGAGATGGTCAAAACTTGATGGATAATAAATAGATGAATGATTATTCAAACAAATAAAAATACATGATATATATATATATATATAATAAATATACAAGAAAAATTTTTTAATAATTAAATTATTTTTTTTCTGGAGCTTTAAAAAAATTCTTTGGGGGTAGACTTTTAGATGGTCCTTCAGGTGTCTTTTAAACATGCGTGTATAGAGATAGATAAGGTTAGAAATGTGTGAATGAGAATGAGGAAATCAATAAAATAAATCAACCAACTAATTAATCAATCAATGACTACTTACCACATAAGCAGCTGTAAGACCACCATCAACTTTTAATTCTGTGCCTGTAATATAAGAAGATTCATCTGAAGCAAGGAACAAAACTGCATTTGCAATTTCAATTGGTTCGCCTATAATATAAACATTTAAAAATATATAATTTAGTATAACTAACGTAAAATTTTGTGAATTACTCATTTCCAAATTTCTAATTTCCTAATGTTTTAAATTTTTACCAAATCTTCCAATTGGTACATGAATCAATCGCCTATTTTTCTTTTCATCAGTGTCAAGAAAGTCCATAAGTAATGGTGTTTGTAATGGCCCAGGACATACAGAATTTACTCGAATGTTTTCACGAGCATGTGTAACTGCAAGCTCACGACTTTTTAATTATTATTTTTAAAAATAGGTTATTAATAATTAATGCCTTTGCGATTTGTAATTACTCCAAATACTACTACCGTCGACATCAACATCTCATTTACCTCAAGGCAATAACAGCTCCTTTGGAAGCAGTATCTGGAAACAGACCAAAATATTATTATTCTTTCTTTTTTGAATATTTTCAACCAAACAAATACATATATATATTTATCATTCCCTTACATGCTAATTGTGGTGTAGCTGAACCCATCAAACCTACAAAACTAGCGGTATTGATAATACTGCCACCTTTTCCTTCTTTTCGAAATGCTTCTATTGCATATTTACAACCAAACCAGACACCTTTAAGATTGATATTCATTGTAAGATCCCTTTATGTATATATATATGAATAATATTGTATAAAACGGACAAGCCGTCCACATCCAAAAAATATTATTGGATTAATAATAATATCAATGATTAATGAGTAACTTGACTTTGTTTTTATATAAATTCCTCATACCAAATTTTTTCATCAGTAGTAAGAACATTATCATCATCTGGATGCATTATACCAGCATTATTGAATATAATATCAAGTTTGCCTATATTGTAAATCAGGATAAATTAATTTTTAAATGATCATTTACATTTAAAAGTCACAAAAGAAATAATTTACAAATTTAATTTATGTTTAAATAAAATGAATAAACATTACCGAATTCTTTTACAGCAGTTTCAACAAGTTTTTTGACCTCTTCCTCTTTGGAAACGTCAACTTTAAATGCAATCGCATTTTTACGAACATGTACTGGACCTGTTTTTTCTTTGATTCTTTCAACTGTAGCTTCTGCTGATTGTAAATTTATATCGGCCACTACAACATAAGCTCCTTGTCTAGCAAAAAGTACACTTGTCTCATAACCAATACCACTATTTATTCATTTTGTTTGTTTGTTTGTTTGTTTTTGTTTTGTTTTTGTTTTGTTAATTTTTTAATTATTTATAGAAATATTACTTTTCATGAAAACTTTATTTAAAAAAAGAACATTTACCTTCCACCACCAGTAATAATTGCTACTTTTCCATCAAGACGTCCTTTGATATCTTTAATAGCTTTATTAATTGCAGACATTTTTTTTTTTTGAATTTAGAAATACAAGTAACACGAAATTTTTTTTTGGCTTGATACATGATAAAGAAAGAAAGAAGAGTGCTTAAACTATGTCAAAAAAGATACTTTCGACCAGTGCAATGATGATAGATGATGAAGAACGGGTTAAAAAATTTGACGACGACTTTGAGTCATCAAATCAACCTTCATCACGTCCTGGCTACATACCTTCCCACATGCCACCTTTTCCTAGCAAACATACATATAAGAAAACACCGGTTTGTTATATATATATATATATATACATAGACAGAGATATATTTACACGTTAATATGGTTATTATGATTATGACAAAAATATTTTTATTTTAAAAATTCAAGGTATTTCCAAAACGATTAGATTACAATCCAACAAGAATAAGAAAAATGCGATTAGAACAATCAAGATTAGTTGAAAATAGTTTACAAAGATTATCGAAATGTCATAGCAATAACAGTAGTAATCATAATATTGATAATATTAGTAATAATAATTTGTATATGGAGGAAGACTCACCTTCTTCGTCATTAACAATTGTCTCGGCAAAATCATCAGAGTCACAACAACAACTAGATGATGAAAATTTGTCAAAAGTATCAATGCCGATAACTAATTTTCGTTCAACCATCGTTCATACAGGTACAATCAAGAATCATCCAAAGTATGATGCTAGATTGATTCGTTGTTTAACAGATGAATCAACACTGAATCGATATAGTAAGGATAAATCTGAACGAATAAAATCAAGCTGGGAAGACGTTTTAGAAAAACAGAAAAATTTATAATTATATTGTAGATGTCACACGTGTTGTTACTATTTACTATCTCTAAAAAAAGCAAACCATTTTTTTCTCTTTCACGAATTTTATTATTAATATAAATCAGATAAATATGGCAAAGACGATAAATTATTGCAAGATTTTTTTTAAAAAAAAATTATATATAAAATACATTTTTAAAAATTACATGAATATTTTACCTAATTTAATCATCCCAATTAAAAAAGAATTCCTGATTATATTGTACTCTTGTGATCCAATAAAGCACTAACACTACCACCATTATGTGCTCTTTTGATTGCTTCAGCAAGAATAGGAGCAACATTAAAAACCTTAATCTTTGAACATTGTGCTTCGTGCTCATCCTGTGGGACACTGTTGCTGACAATAACCTGATCTATGACACTGGACTGTATTCGTTGAATAGCATCACCACTTAGAATTCCATGAACAATAAGTGCATAAATTTTTTTTGCACCATTTTCAGCAAGTATTTGAGCAGCTTTAGTGATTGTATATGATGTATCTGAAATATCATCAATCAAGATACATGTTTTATTCTTAACGTCTCCAATTAACATCATATCCTTTTTATGAGGGGCATGTTGAGAACGTCGTTCTTTATGAATAAGTGCAAAATCAACATGAAGTTTATCAGCGATAGAAGTGGCTCTAATAATAATAACAACAATAGTGATAATGACGGCATGAGGAAAAGAAGACGGAATAATTATTTGCATTTTTTTTTTTTCGATTAAAATAATAATCACTTACCTTTTAGTACCACCTGCATCAGGAGATATGATTATTGCATTGGTCCAATTTGGTATATTTTCTTTTATATATTTTATCATTAATGGTTGACTGTATAGATTATCAACAGGTACATCGAAATATCCTTGAAATTGAGGATCATGAAGATCCATAGTCATGACATGATCAGCTCCTATATAAAATAATAATAATAATAGTAATAATAATTAATTCAAACAATCCTATTTCACATAGACAATTAGATCCGAGCTAGCAAATATTTCATCATACAATATAGTAACCTGCACACGTTAAAAGATTCGCTACAAGAGTTCCAGATTGTGCAATCCAATGTCTATAACCATTGTTATTACTACCACTATTACCATCATTATTATTTGCAATAGATCTAGTTGACAATCCATCCAAACCATTTGATGACGAATTTTGTTCACCAAATTTTTTAAAAGCAGCACTGAAAGGATCATCTACTTGAGATGATAACGGTGATGTAAAAATTGGATCAAGTATAGCAGGCGTATCGTATGTATAACCTGTAGGATTGTTTGTTTGTTTATGTGATAAAGGAGCTCCACTTCTTTTATGAGAAGCATCTGGTTGTCTTGAGTATGGAAAGCAAGGAATCACGGCACTTACTCTAGCAGCAGAAGCATTTTTACATGTTGATATCATAATTAAAAGTTCCATAAGGTTGTCATTAACATGTCCACAGCCTGATTGAACAATGTAAACATCTTTCTCTCTAACACTTTCTTGAATTTCTATGTTCGTTTCTTTGTTTGAAAATTTTGATAACTTGACGTGTCCAAGATGAACACCAGCTCTTGTAGCAATTTGTTCTGCTAATTGTGGGTGAGAAGAACCTCCTAAAATTACAATGTTGTTCATTATATTTGGTTTTTTTTTTTTGATATTACTCAACCCTATGATATTATAGAGGCATATGTAAAAGTTGTACGAAAAATACTTGTTGACATAATGCCAGTTTATTATTATCCTAGCATGATGTGAAGATGATGTGAAATGATGTGAGATGATGTTGTTGTTTGCGTTAATAAATTTATTCACATGCGTGAGAAATTCAAATTAGCCAATCAGAATTTCGTGCCCATTCTCCAAAAAACGTGACAACTTGATAATTATTGGATAAATTTATAAAGTTTTTTTAAATATGTATTATTATTATCATCATTTATCATTGGTAACAGATTTAATTGATGTAAAATTATTAAAATATTTGAAAGATTTAGAAAATACAATATGTATTTCATTTCAATTTCTAATAATGAATAAAGATGATTTCGTTTCATACAGACATTCAATAATCTTTGTGCAGGAACAGCGAAAATAAATTTTATAATTCAAATTCCAATTTAAAACTATTGCTATATCTATCGACAAGCACAGATATAGCATTTCACCAGATAGAACTAGTCCTGTAACAAATTGAATGTTTCTATCAGTAATCTGCTAATCTCGCTGCTTCTTTGGAAATTTGTTCAAACATATCACTCATAAAATCATGTATAAAATCATTGTAGATTTTGTTGGAAATGCCAACATCATCAGGATGTGCCTTAAAATTGCAAATTAATAAATAAATATTAATAAGGTAACACACTATAATTTTTTCTTTGAATGTCAATAACATTGTTAACGAGATGAAATATGTTGTGACGTCAGGAGATTTTTTTAGACTCGAATTTATTACATTGCTTGTGTAAGTTTATGTATGTAAGACCCCATCATTACATTCAGTGTAAATTAAAATATTTATGTGCATAATATTACGGCGGGACAAATTTCCTGAACATACGAATGTTTCAACCAGGTGGAACTCTTCATTTTGACGAAATGTTACCGGGTAACTGTAAATAAATAAAGATGACCCTTTTACGAAACTCGAGGGCTTCGACTTGTTTCAGTCATTTACATTATTGGCATTGCAAACTCGCTTTGTTTACTTTCAAAACAATTTAAGTGGATTGTTTAACAGCCCTATGTTTATGATTACAACAATGCCACCAGTATTTTCGATCAACATTTGAACGATGCTTCATTAACACCCTCCAGTTAACCAACGTTGGCCCTAACCTTTGCCTATTCACCAAGGCAAATAAAGCGTGACTTTTTACCAAAGCTCCGAATTGTTACTTTTTACCAAGGCACTACACTTGTTGCTTTTATCAAAATGTTTTAAACAATACAAAGAAAATAAAACAACGTTTTTATTTTTATGTTTCTGTCAGAGCTTTATTTTATTAGAATGTTAATTTTCTCAAGCGAGGATCCTAAGTTTATTCTTTGCTTTTTCAAGCAAAGACCAAAAGTTATTCCCTATTCAAGTTAATGAAATTTTCGTTGAATAAAAATAAAAATGAAAATTAAAAGGTTTATTATTGCAAAGTAACTAAAGTAACTTAATCAATCAAATTGATATTATAAAAAACATCTATAATTATTTACACAGTAACATTAAAATCTCCTGCTGTAAAGTTTTCGTTTGATAATAATTATGTATAGGTCTAGTTGACCCTGGAACTTAAAGACTGGTACCGATGACTTTATCTAACCCGATCATGATCACGTTATTAATGTAATGAATGTTCGAGTTAATAAGCACGCGGGAACTGAATTTGTATTCGGTAAGATGAAACAAACAAAGGAAAGGTCGGGATACAAGAAAAATATTGAATTTATGAGCTTTTTATATTCTTTACTTGCGTCATTTTTGACTTGGCGGCAGCGAATTTGACGTAATAGTTTTACAACCCGGTATCATTAGGTGTGCTCACAGATTCGTATAAGTGCAAGAAAGAGCCAGTAATCGAGATGCACCAAATTATTGTAAGTTTATTGCAATTAACTGACAAGAGCTAAGCCATAATCGGCCATACTTGTTAAATAATCGGTATTAACTGAAATGATACCTAACAATATCACCATTTAACAAGAATCAAAAAACTGTGAAAAGTTTATTATTTCAAAATAATTTAGCTTTAAGAAATAAAATAAAAAGATAAATAATTATAACAAATAATTTAGGAGATTAAATTAGTCAGTCATTCATCAATTTCTTCTTTTAATTGTTAGAATCCAATGCAGTTAAATGTAAATAAAAACTATTGTTAGTAATAATTAATGGATAGTAAGTTTCAATTAATTAATTAATAATGAAATTTTTATTCACCTTCAACATTTAAGAGAAAAGAGTTAAAATCAAGGCTATTTAATGAGCTGTCATTACTTGTATAAATTTTCAAGCTTTTAGATTTGGCAATTTCGTCATCTAAGATTCTACTTTTATGATATGCATCTGGATGTGATTCGTATACTTGTTGCGAATTATTACTACTAGTAGTAGTAGTATCATTATTATCATTAATAATTTCGTTACACTTATTTCTAGCAAATGTCCAAAGCTCTCCACTAGTTGGTCTTTTTGATGGATCCACATCCCAACACTTCTGCATCATTTGCACATAATCATCAGGCATTCCAGGCAGTATTGGTGGTCGTAAACCTTTTGCACATATATCAAAAATCAAACGATGATTGTGAGCTCTGTTGTCAAATGGTGGATGACCTGCAAATATTTCCCACATTAACATCCCAACACTATAGATATCTGATTCTTTGGTGTTCTT